ATCTGAAGAAAATGAAAAAAAAATAGTTAAAATGGATTTTGGTGGTCTAAAGTGTAAGCAAGTTACCCTAAGACCTCAAAATGAAACAAAAAATTGATTATAATCCATCATTTTTATCATATTCAAAAAATGGATTAAGACTGAGATAAAATCAAATAAAATATATATTTTTGTTCCGACTTTCGATACGAAAGTAACGGAATATTTGTGCTCGGGGTGGGTTTTTTTTTTCTTCAGACAAATTTCGACTTTTTAACTAGCCATTTTTGACGGAATTTTTTTTTATCATTCAAAAGGTATTGTTGTCCTGAGCTTAAATTTGAAAAGATATTTCATCTGTGATCATTTTTTGTAAAGTTATGAGGGTTTAAAGGTTGCCATTTTGGCCATTTTGACCAATTTGGGACAATTAACGCGCGATATAATTCGAGCTATTAACGCGTAAGCGGAGATTTAATCCGTCTTAGAAATCATTCCAAATTGGTTGAACGAAGCTTATTTGCCATAATTGATTTGTTACAAGGAACGAAATCCATCCTTTTGTACTTTATATGGCGTGTGGGGGGCTGATTTTCGTTGAAAAAATTTCAAATTTTAGAAAAAATGTTTTAATTTTATTTTATTTCATTTAATTTTTTAAAGTTATTACTGCTCCATAAACCTTAAAAGGCAGTCGGAACATTCAGGGCTTCACCTTGATACGAGCAGTCTTGTTTGCGTTTTATTTTGTATCGTGTCGTGCTAAATTTTTCCATTTTTTCCATACTTTCTGCATTTATCAAATGAGTAATACAGCAATTTTGCAGCACGAGTGTACGGCCACAGCACCCCCCCCCCCCCCAACAAAAGAATCACCAACTACCGCCAGAAAAAGCAACGACCATCTCATACCAATAGAGCCAATCCCTCTCCCCCCAAATTGTAAGCAAAATAAAAAACATAAAGTGAGTAACAAAAATCGAAGTTGCAGAGGAAAAATTTAAAATTGAACAATATTTCACCAACTTAATTTTAAAACTTGCAAACAATTCTGCGACCGTTGAAAAACGCATCTCAATAATATGGTGGAAAATCGATTATACTTAATTTATAATTATTTTGATGATTTGTTCAACAATGGCACTATAATCCATTTTCAATTAATTATTATAAAAAACTTTTCACTTTTAGAGAAACAGACAACAAAACTCAACTTTAATTGATTTTTATCTATAGAAATCCAATGCGGGTCCCCTGTTTTTGCTTGCTCTCAGCTTTTTGTACTCGAATGTTTCATTATCAATCAAAGTTAGCGGTTGAGTGCAGTTTGTAATGCTGTCGGGAGACGTTTGAAATGATGGCCAAAAGCATGGAAAATTGAACTATTTCAATATATAACACTTCAAAATTGACTGGCATATTTTAAATAGCTCAAAACTGTTTTCAGAATAAAGATTGAAATTGTTTTAAACTAATCAATAGTCCACAAATTGATCAAACCGTCAGAGTTTTTTTCTAAATCACTCAATTTGTAACAAATTTTGGCTTTGAGAGTGTTATAGGAACTGGAATGTTATAAGAAAAAGATAGAAACATTTCTTACGAGAGAGTTTTATGATAAGATTTTTTGGTTCTTTAATTTTTTTTTACAATTTCAAACGATTTTTCATTAATTTTCTATCTTAAATTGCTTCTCATGAGAAAAGTACAAAGTTTTCTTTGACGAAAAATGTCCGCACTTTTATAACAATTTGAAGCTTTTTTGTTGCTCACTGGCCTTAGAATCAACTGCACATTTTAAAAGGCAATGAGAATTTTGTTAGAAAACTGTAAGACTGTGGAAATTTCCTGAAAACCTATAGGATATTCTAGGAATGGGTAATTTTTGTTGTATAGTCAATTCGGGTAACTAAATTGAATACAAGCAACTAGAAACACTCTTCATCCAAACTCATCACCGTTCAGCACACCCCTTACTTAAGCAGTTGTAGAAACTCAACTGCTCTTTTTCCTAAACAGCGATAATTTTGGACTAGAATTTAGCGATGATATTACCAAATGGGTTCCATACTTTTTCTTTTCCGAGCTTCAAAAAACATTGAAAAAATAAAAAAAAAATTGAAATTTTGAAAACATATTTGTGTTTTAATGCAATTGGTCTGTTAAATTTCTTAAATGATTCATTGATCAATTCTTGATTTTATAAATGTAACTAGATTTAGCTGAAAAAACGTTATTGCTTCAATTCAAAAAAAAACTTCATTGCTTCTGCTCTTTGCAAAAAAATAACACTCGAAGGTGAAGTTTGATTGAAAAAATCAAGTCTCATAGGTGCAATATGTTACACTTGATAAAAAGGCGGCAGTGCCTTAGACAGATCTTCAGCGAACTAATGATCATAGTCAATTAAGTTTTTATGCGTCTGGATACCGGTCTCAGTTATTCTGTCAGTAAAAGAAATATCCGTGACGCGCTTGCTATATTTCAAATTCTGCTAGAAAAACATTACAAACTATGAAATATGTGGAAAACCGTGTAGTTTTTAACAAGAATTCAGTCTCATGTTTGTTCCAAACGGCTAACTTAGAAAAGAAAGACAGCTCGGCCTTGTTACAGGCTTTTTAAATATTCTCGAGTTCGGATGATCAAGAATTGACAGTTGTATTTTTTGCATCATTTCAAAATTACAAAATCGCTCAAAATCATTATTTAATGTGAAAATCTGTATCTGTATAATAAATTAAAAAAATATGCAAAAACTCAACCTCATTAAGCAGTTTTTGTCTCAAAAATGTTGTCCGAAATTTTGACCAAATATGAAAAACCAGGTCGAACTTTTTTGTTCTCTAGACACAAATGGATATGCCAGATGGGCTCCTGGGCTCTGAAAAGTAACAATTTGCTTACTCTAGCCAGCTCGGAGTTCATTACGAGACGAAACTGTGCATTTTGGGAATTGCAAGCGGATTCCGCACCAAGGACACTCACTTTGTTCTTCTTTTGTTCCCGGGTTAAACAAAAGTTGCTATCTTAGAACTTTTCTTATAAGAATTTTACATTCTCTCACAAAATTAGGCTCTAAGATTGTTACAAGATAGAAATTTTTCTTATAGGAATGTTGTAAGATTGCAAATTTTCCCTACATTGTCAGGTTCTTCATGAACATCCATCAGCTGCTCTGAATAACCGCAAACATTTATCTTATCAGCCATTCAGAGCAGATCCTCAGAACAGCCATTCCATAGCTACCAAAATTTCTTTTTTTGATAACTAATCATTTTATCGGATAGGTTAGAGTTTAATAGGCAGATAATAACAAAAGAAACATTATTTGCCCAGGTAGGTATTTGCATTAAAAACATTTGTTGCTAAAAAATTTCAACCAATTTCAAATCTTTTGGAAACTGATACAAAAATTGGCCACCAATGAAAAGAAAACAGAGCAAACAAACTTGTTTTACTATTCTCCGATTCATCGCGTAAATGTTGAGGCAATAGTTCCTCAAAATTCATTTTTTTTTATGATTACAGGAAAAAGTTCCGATCTTAGAATTTTTTTATGAGGAAAGTTCTAAAATAGAAAAAAAAATCCTACAAAAATTTTTCGTCCTAGTTTGAATAAAACATTTTTTTTCAATGCAGGTACAATTTCTGCAGCATTTGCGAAATTTCAAAACTAATTGTTTTTATTTTGAGAGTTTATTAGGTGGGAGAAGGTTTCTAAATTATTACTTTTCTTATAAAAAAAGTTGTAAGAACTGTGGGAATAAAAGTCGAATCTTTAATTTTGAGTCGTAATTGTTTTTAAAATTTATTGATATCAAAATATTTATTTATTTTGAAAAAATCACCTTTCAAATTTTTGTAGGAAAGTTGTAAGATTGGGTAATTTTCCTACAAATCTTATAAGAGGTTCGAAGATAGGGAATTTTTTCGTAATATGGACAAACAGAGTTCTTTAGGTTTCTTTGATCGTTCGGATAAAATTATAACTTGTTTCAAGACTTGCACATTGCACAGTTTGGGTTCGTAATGTTAACAATAAAGTTTGACAAAGCTCAATAAGTCTTGCAAATTTGCTGAAAAAACGCCTGTTTGCAAAAAACTGGATAAAAGACCTCTGCTTGACCTAATGTTTTAACTTTGCTTGACCTAATATTGACCACCGTACTCAGGGGCGGATCTAGGATTTTCTCGAGGGGAGAGCAGATTTTCAAAAAAATGTGAAAAATTTTTGACAACTTTTTTTTTAGGTCGACCAAATTAATTTTCCGAGCTCTCCTAAAGCACTAAAAAGACACTGTTTTGGCGAAATGTTCTTTTGGGCACTTTTGAGCACGTTTTTGGCACTTTTTGGAAAACTTTGACAAAAAATCGCGTTTTTTTGGCGCGCGCTCCCCCTTAGTATATATTGGCGCCAAAAATGGATTTCTGAAAAAGTACCACAAGGGGGACCCTTTGGGTCGGCAGGGGGTCAAATCCCTGAAGGGGGAGGCGTCCGCCCACCGCCCCCTCCCCCTAAATCCGCCCCTAACCGTCTTGACGTATATTTCGAGTTTTTGATCAAACTCCATGATTCAACTATGCACTTGAAAATACTTTCCGACCAAACATTTATAGTCGTAAAAAGGACCTTTGTGACACTTCAAAAGTCAAAATATTTGGGGACCACCTTTACCAGGGTACTAAAAAAATCTTCAAACAAATGTTTTCTATCTTGTAAATCCAAGCAGTTATTGGTTTAAAAATTATTCACGAAGTTGCTGCAAAAATGCACATCAAAAGTTTCAAATTAATTAACGCCTTCAAAAGTGGCTCAAAATGGAGCCGCTTCAAGTGTACTGAAAATCTACAAAGCTTATTTTTCTAGTTGTAAACTATTATAAAACAGAATTGCCGCGCGTATTTGTCACACTTTGAGACCACAAAACAATACCTTGCAATTTGAAGAACTGAAGACTGCATTTTTACATTGAGAAGTTGATTATATTTTTATTGATATTATGCGTGTACAATGTGAGCGACTATTTAACTACACAACATTAAAAAATTGAAGCAATAAAAAGTTTCTCTTTGATTCTTGATATATATACAAAGAGATATTAGATTTAACTATATATTTACCATTTTTGTTGCATTGTTTATATAATTCACAAATTTTTTGAGCATGATTTTCTAATCATAAATTTTCTACAGCTATACTCACTATTATCAGTTTTTTTCCAAAGCTAACTTTTCCAAACTATAAAGAATAAAATCGGGAGAAATGAGTCAGGACTTTCTGAAGGAGCAGGAGCGGATCTCGTTGGCAGAAGAGTTGATGGACTTGGCTCTGATGGCCAAGGGGACCCAGAAGTTGTTCGCTCTCATCAATAAAGAGTGTGTGTTTGACCTCGAGAAGCTGCAGAGTAAACTGAATGGCCTGACGAAGGCAGAGAGAGATGCACTTGAAACCAAACAGGTTAGAGAAAAATTCAAAAAGACTTTGATCCAAAGGAGAAGTGATCTCATACAATAGCACAGAAAAATGAATTTAATTAAATTTATTTCTTGTTTTTTCTTACCTTTTTCCATGTGATAGAACAAACGTTAAGTTCAAAAACAAAGAAGTGCTCTCTGTTTTATCTATTGGATAAGTTTGCTGCAATTTTGAAACTGGATCAGATAAACAAAATTTTTCTTTTTCAGTATTTTTCTTAGTTTCATTAGAGGCAACCCTTTTAAGCACAAATTTTTCTTCAGAGATTTGAAGCAAAAAATGGTAAAACATGTTTGAGCACTGAAAAAGAAAATCAAAATGTGGAGTTTGTTTCAGTTATTCGACGTGGTGAACGATCTAACTAAGAAGAAGAAAGAAGCAGATCTTCTGGCAGCCCAGCAACTAGAAGCACTCAGGGCCGCCGAGGCAGAACAGCAGCGACTGCGAGAACTCATGGCGGCTCAGGGGGACGAAAAAGACGGCGAACAAACGAAACTTCTAGAAGAACTGCAGGAAATGTTTGACGCAGAACGTGAACAACTTATGGCCGAGAACGAAGAGGAGAAGCAAAAAGAGTTAGAAAAGGCGCGAAAAGCAGCCGAGGCTGAAAGAGAAAAAATGCGAAAAGAACACGAAAAACTTCAAGCTCAACTGAACTCTAAATTTGGAAGTCTAGGAGACAAGTTAGGTCGGGCGGAAGCGGAAAAAGCCGACCTTGAAGCCGAATTAGAAAAACGAGACGATCAATTGAGTCGTGCCGAAACCGAGATGGCCGAGTTGCAATCGGAGATGGAGAACCGAGAGGCGAAGATGAACGAACGACTAGCTGAAGCCGAGAAACGAATAAAGGAAGCACAGAAGCGCGCCAGTGACGCTGCGAAGAAACGAGAAAAAGAACTGGAAGACCAAATTCGAAAACTTCAGGTAACTTAACTTAATTTTTTGGAAGAACACTTTAAGCATCACGTTAACTTAATTTTTTGGAAGAACACTTTAAGCATCACGATAGTTTAGTTATATGAAAACGAACAAAAACGTTTTGAGCCAAAATATAAAACCTGCAAAATTGAGCACGTCAAAAATGTTACTATTTTTTAGTTAACAAGCCAAAGGCCTAGACCAGAGTTTTAAGATTAACTAAGCTATATGGCTATCTTCAAGAGATCACTTTGTAAATTGCGATTTGAACCCGCAATCATATGATTATGAGCATTATTACTACCGATATGCCACTACGAGGAAATGATAAAATTGGGTGACAAAATTTTTCAATATATTGTAAAATTCGCAGTAACTACATTAAAGTCTCTTCTTTCATTCGCCAACGATCTTGAAAGACGTCTAGTAGAACCTTCTCACTTCTTCTATATCAATCTGATTTGTTGCAGCTCTCTCTGGACGAGTCTGCGGCGCGTTTGGCAGAGTTGGAGAGTAGCCAGAGCATGGCTAAGCTGGGAGAGATGGAGGAGAAGATAGGGAAACTGTATTGGGTCAACAAGGAACTTATCTCACAAATCAGAGAGAGGGACTCACAAGCGAAGCGATTGCAGGTATGTACAAGAAAGTTTTTTATGCAGATCCCTCTTCGATCTATCGTGTCTTGAAAACTAAAAAAAAACACTTTGAGATTTTGTAAGTCATTCGGCTAAAAGCTAAGACTGTTCGGCCATTCGTAACTAGACTTAGCTAGACTCTCTTCTCATTGTATCACTTCGATCCCGCATGTAGGAGCATAAAATGCTTAAAATGGTTGATGTTTTTTAGGAAAAAAATCTTCTTTTGTGTATTCTTATATATAATGTCGACAAAGCTTAACTTTAACCGATTTTATATAAAAATTTTCGTTCTCTTCACTCAAAATTAATCAAAAATACAATCTTTTCATCCAAAATAAACCAAATTTAAACGAATTTGTGAATAGAATGCCGAAAAATGTTAAGGCTGTCGGATGATGTGAATCGTGAAAGTGTTAAAATCTGAGTGCTCTTTCCCAAAAGCCTGAATAAATGAATTGAAGTTTTTTTTGCAAATGTTTACTGAATTGACACAAAATGATGTATATGTTCAACTTTTTCAAGCTTTATTCATTTTTTCTGGATTTAGTTATTTTTGCCAATAAAAATTTCAGAGACGGTAAATGGCATTCAGAAGATACGAGCAGACATGCGTTTCGTCTCTCAAATGAACTTTTATTCATAAATGAGTTTTTGTTCTGCTTGAGTTCTGATTTAGAAAACGCAACTACGAAAAGGAGAAAAATAAACGAAATTCGTGTTAATTTTTTTATCTTAAGAAGGATAGCCAAATGGTGTGCAAGTCGCACAAAATATTCCAGTCACAATTATTTCAATGGAGAGATTTGAAAAACAAAAAAAATTGCATCAAAAACAAATTTTAGTTTCATTTTTTTCTAAATAACGTATCGTATTTTCTTAAAAGGTAAGGGCATCAGTTACAAAACTGCATAAATGAAAGCTATCAAAATCAAAAAACGATTAAAAAAAATTGTAGTAGAGATTAATTGGCAGCACTACAAAGGAACATCTTTCATCAAGTCTACCTCAAATTTGATTGTAAAAAATTCAGAGCCATTTTTATCGAACCCGAGACAATTTTTTTTAATTTTACAATACAAATCACAACTAAAATGGCTTTATTGTTTTTATAATTTGTCCAGGAGCTTTTTGAGCTTGTTTTAAAAAAATAACTCTTGTGGAACCTGATCTAAACTACATTTTATGATTGGATAAATTAGATATTTTACCAATGTAAAGTATTTAATATTAACCAATCATGATCCATCTAACTAACAACCCACTTATTTGTAAGTGCTGAAGTTACTTGTAATTTCAGCACCAGAGAGATTTGAATTTAACTTAGAAATTAGTTGGACTCTCCCGAGCACTTCAGCAGCCGCAATAAACCAGTATACCCTAGATCTATTGAGCCTAGCAGAGACTAGTTAAACAACCTGAGACTAGATAGTATAAGAGTAAGATTAGGATCGGTATTAGACTAAGAAGTTGCACGAATCTATCCGGCCGAAAATAAGATAGCGTGACGAGCAGACGGTGTACCCTATCCGAAATTACTCTATGAGTTAACCAACTCGGTCCTAACTCATCTGGTGCGACCATAAGTCTCGAACAAGACCTTAATAGCTTAGAATTAACCAAAATAGATTAGAAATTAGACAAAAACATTTACAAAATGTTATACGACAATAATTTAATCGAAATGTCTCTACGACTCAATAGATCAGAGCCAATATTCCGAACCATAACAGAACTACCCGGAATTGGAAGAAGACCTCGAACCAGAGACGACATACGACAAAGTAGAAACTTGCCATATAGCTATATGATAGTTAGGCAAAAACCAGAACAAACTTTTATATTTAGAATACTACTAGCAATGAATTTAGATTTTCATTTGCAAACATAAAACCTTGAAGTTAATCTTCAAAATCATTTCAGGCGCTAAACAAAATTATTAATATACAATAACGATTGATAAAAAGATCTAAGATCGTTTTCCTAAAATTCTGCGATAATATACAAAACATGTTTGAAAAATATTTATTGAAAAATAAAAAATAAAAATTAGTAGCATGACAATAAATGGTTAGTAATCATAAATCATCCTGTTGTTCCAGCTCCATCATCTAAAACATAACAGCAATCATAAACCCACTAATATCATCAAAACACTAAATCTTTCCTTTACACACATTTAAAATTTTATTAAAACTTAAATTCACTTAATTTTAAAACCAGATCATCAAGGCTTATCCTTGGATCTTAAATCATTTTCTACTTAATTAAATTTCAAATTTGATCATCAAGGCTTATCCTTGGATCAAACAGAACAACTTTGTTCTCCCCCACCCACTTAATTAGTGTCTAACGACCTCAAACGTCGATTCACTACCCAACCCTTTCTAAAGACCCAAGACTAATAGAAATTTTTAAACAAAACTAATCATTCAAATTAGGATAAACAGTGAAGAACTTCGGTTATTCATCCTTCACTTGACCCCCCCTCTTACCAGACCCAGGATAAATCTTAGACTTAGTAAGTTTAAAATAGTATCTAACGAACTACTCGCGTTCTAATTATACCTGAACCTTGTGGATCGATTTACTATTCTCCAACCCTTGAACACAATCACTACCCCTAAGTAAGATTAAGTAAGTTAACACCTTAACTTATACTAGCCACGAGAAAGTAAAAAATCATTCTTCGGAATCGATATACTTTTCTCTCCAACCCTGAACAAACAGACCCAGGTTAAGCTAACCAAAAAATCGTAAGAACTAACAGTTTAAGAAAATAGAAACCATTTAACAACCTTTTGCATCCGTCATCCTAAACCTTATGTCATTTAAAAACCTAGGAAATAAACAAACAATCGTTTTACACAATTGTGAAATAGATAACAAAAAATACGACCTTGTAATCACACCTCATACACAAACAGTTGGATACATTCGAACAAAACGACAAACACTAAAAAGAAAAATAATAACGAAACAAAGACAAATAACACGAAAAAGATTTTCAAAAAATCGAAACGCATTTTCAGAATCAGAAACCAACAGTTTAGACGAACTTTACAAACTAAAAGAATCAATAGATAAAAATTACCCACTTCACGATCAATTATATTTTTCTGACTCAGAAACAACTTCAAATTCATCAAAGAGAGGAAAAAGAAGAATAAAAAAGCAGTATAAACACAAACCAGTACATTTATACAATTGGAATCAACCAATTAGACACATTGATAATTACATATTAACAGTCATCGAACGAAAAAATGAGCTCAACGCACACCCCAGGTGAAGAAAGTCCAGATGATGATGAAATCTTTCCTTTTATAGTAGATGCAACCACTGATAGAGGACAGCATATATTTTGCAAAAATTTACTATTAAATTTATTTGAACCCGGAATAAGTCCATGTAAAACAGAGTTCCCAGATGTAAAAATCAAAAGACAAATCATAGACCACTACTTAAAAGATATATGCAACATAACACAACAGTATGGAATCTACTCCATAGAAATCACCTCACCAAACCATAATAATAGAAAATATACAATTCAAACAGACGACCTTGATTTAGAATTTTCAAAAGTTTTTTCAGAATATATAAAAAGCATCCAATATCATAACTCACAAAGAGCAAACTCCATATTCACCAATGAAGTTTTCGCAATAATATATAGTTATATTTCGATATTAGAAAACGAAATCCCAATAACAAATGTCTCACCGACAGAAACATCTAAACATTTGAAAGTACGACATGAAATCACACTACTCTCTAGTTATTTAAACATCATTAAAGAAAATTTCACGAAAGACGACGTTTCACAACATACAAAACACGATCTACAAAAAATTTTGGCATGGTTCATAATAGATTATTTCACACACAATATTGATTTAATTGCACAAGCAAGAAAAAATTTTAGACCCCAAAACTCGAACGATGATACCGCTATCACAGAACAATCAGATTATGTTTGGGACCCCGAATGGTCTCATCCCGCATTTATAAGCTTCCCACAATCAATCTCAAGTCAAGCAATAAGTACGATATCTTACATAAGAGATTATGTAAAAGTAATACCATTAACCATTGATGCAACACCATTAAACTATAATACATTTTTGCCCGATACACAAAATAATAGTTTAAACTCTACAGTTATACACAATGAAAACCTCAATGGAACTAGGAATCTTACTCAACAAGATATCCAGACACCATCACACTTCATAAATGAAGAAATTGTACACACAACAACTACACAACAAAGTATTTCACCAATACGCCCAAATTTAACAACACCAAGAAATACAAATCCTTCACAAACACAGGTAACCTTACAATCAACCGTTAAACCTTCGGTTGCCCCTAAATATTCACATATGGATTACCAAACATACAGACCCATGACAATACCATCAAAAACACGCAAAACATTCACTAGAAACAACTTTGCAGACCATAATTATAATTATACACATCCATCAAAAACATATAACCAACCACAAAGAAATTTTAACCAATATACAAGATCCCGAAATTGGGATAACCCAATGACCCAACCTAATTCAATAAATTTCTAAACAAATCCTCCACAGGATCACAGTGAAAATTACCCATTTTTTCAACAAAATAAAAATAAAAAACAGACATCTTATCAAATGGATTATTTATCCTCAGATGATGATTTCTTACAACCAGATATATTTGCACCAAATACTCAAGAATATCGTAGACAAGGAATACAGAAAACACGTACAAATCATAGAAATTTTTCTCCACAACCAATAGATGCACAACATCAACAACCAATTCAACAACAAAATTTAATTAATACACAATCTTTTCAACCAATTCAACAACAAAATCCAATGACTGCACACTCGTATCAACCATCACAAATGCAAAATGAAATACCACTCCCATATTATCTCCAACAACATGAAATAACAAGAAACCAACTTTCAAATTTTTCTCAAATGCCAAATGCA